GGAGGGATTTAGAAAAGAAAAGAAAGGCTATAAAGTAATTAGATACTAGCTCTTAGTATTAATAAAGGTATTAATAGAGAAAGTATTAGTAAAGAGTAAAAACTCTTAGTATTAATAATAAAATTAAAAAAATATATAAAAGAAAAATAGAAGTTTTAGAGTAAAAATAAAATAGAGTTATAGTTTTATAAAAAATAAAGATACTAGTATAGAATAGTTATATTATTATATAATTCTATATTTACTTTTATTATTTATTAAGAATATATATTTCTTAAGAGAAAGTATTATTTAGAATTCTTAAGTCTTTCTAATTTAATAATTATATATTTGAAAAATAAGAAATAAATATAATTATATATATTAAAATAAGAGAATTTTTCTTATTTAAAAATTATAATTATAGTATTACTAAATATAGAAATATAGAAGTTTATATAATAAGCTATATATAGAGATTTAAGGAAATTTAAATTACCTCGAATTATTTATAATTAGTAAAATAAATTAGTTAATTATATAAGTTAAAGATAGTTTAATTATTATTAATATATCTTGGCTTTTATAAATTAGTAAAATAAAAAATATTTATATCTTTATTTTTATAATTATAATACCTAAAATTATAATTTTTTTAATCTTTAAATATATTTAATCTAGGGTTATTAAATACTAATATTTCTATTTTTAAATATTATTTATTATAAATTTATTCGAGTTTAAATAATTATATTAAATATATATATTTATATCTTAAAAGTAAATAATAAAGATATAGTTATACTAGCTTTAATCTTAGTCTTAATCTTAATCTTAAATTTTTTTTAAAGACGACTTTAATTCTAATATATAATACTATTATTAAAGCTTTTTTTTATTAAATATATATTAAATATAGCTTTAGGTAGTAATTCTAGTAAAAATAAAAGTAATAGAAAAGGTAATAAAGCTATAAATAAGTAAAAAGATAATATTTATAATATATCTTTTAATAATTTAGACTTAGTTTATAATATTCTCTTCTATTAATATATTTAATTAATAAATCTTTTTATTTCTTAACCTTTTTTTCCTCTTTTATAATAATACTTTAATTTTCTTATATTACCTAATAATATTACTAAAATAGTAAAGTAAATTAATAATAAAACCAAAGTTAGAGAAATAAAGCTATATTAGGGCAGGAAGCTAAAGAAATTAGAGAAAGATAAGGCAAATCTAGAGATAAGCTTAATATATATTTATAGAACTAAATTCTTTTAAGTTTATATTACTTATAATAAGAAGAAGAGACTAAGAGGCCCTTTTAAATACTATATAGTTATAGAAGGCAAATTCAATAGTACTTATATAAATTATAGATATAATAATAATAGTAAAGTCTATATTTTCTATTAACTTAATATTAATTCTATTAAGTCTGGAAAGCCTTATTCTATATCTACAAAATTCTTTATACTAAAGCCTTAACTGCCTATAAGATATAAAAAGCAAATATAAAGATAGATATAAGGTCAAAAGATAATAGAGAAGAAGGTTATAGTAGAGAAGAGTAAGGATACTAGAGGAGAAGGAGATAAAGGAAATATAGATAATTCTGGTAATATAGGTAGTATATTATAGTAAATGCGGGTATAAGTAGTATATATTTAATAAAGAGAGGAAAGGAGGCATGGTACGGGTAGCCAGAGCTTAAATATAGTAAATGTGGTTATGTGGGCCTGCACGTGACTGGAGCACAGTTGCCATGCAACATAGTATAGAGGATATAGAGAGTAAAAGAGATAGAGATATACCTTGTAATCCATAGGATTTGCCTTACGGACCACGCAAGCTAAGGGGGGGCTAGGAGTAGTCGAGAATAAGGCGTATATACTGTACTTCTTTTTTTAGTAAGGTATGGGGGGGGGGGGGCGGTGCGGCGGGGGCGGTGTGGGCGCGGAAAATCAAAAAATCAGAAAATCACTTTTCGCTTCTCGGTTTTGTCGACTAGCCCGCCAATGGCCTCAGTAGCTTGGGCATAAACCGCTAAATATAATTATAAAGACAAGCCACTAACCAAATACTTGTCTGAGTCTCCCTAAGTATAGCGAGGGAATACTAAGACCGGATAATATGCACCATATAAGTCTGTACTCCATTTGGATTACCAGAAGCTCATCGGACTGCCTACACGACCCTGAATTTGGGTTCTTCATATCTGAAACGAAGAAATATACTATAGAAAAGAGTATTTATTAGGGACAAGCGATAATGCGAGCAATGTAAGGTTTAGCGTCTGCAAGCCGATGTGCCGCGAATATAGTCGGACTCTGGAACCACCGCCAAGCGACGAGTCTTGCTGCACGAAGTTACTCTCAAGTGCGTGCATCCGAAGCATCGCACTTCAAGCAATTGCAAAGATAATAACAATTGATATTCTGTCGGAAAAACTTGGTTCGAGTTCTTAAAAGAAGTTTGTTTTCTCGCAGAGCTGGTATGGAGGTAGAGAACCTGTGAGCTGAGGTGTGCTTCTCCTCGTTCTCAGTGTGTCAAATGAATAGAATAGAATAGAGTAGTGGCCACTACTCTATTCTATTCATCAAAATTTACCCACTACTCATATTCTATTCATCAAAATTTACCCACTACTCATATTCTATTCATATTCTAATCAAGGTATTCATGAATATTCATGAATACTTTGAGTACTATCCCCCCCCCGGTTCAAAGCGCCCTTTGCCACCGTCTGCCCACACTCTCATGCATCACTCACGCCACACCTCACTCCACTTTCAGCCAATCAGAGCACGTGGAAGCTTCCAGCTCGCCTGCTAGCTGCACCATAAGTATGGCAGAAAACACAGCTTCCACTGGCTATCCTTTACTTACTTATATCCTCAATTTAAAATGGACTCACAAGATCCACGCTTTACTACCCCACCGCCTAATTACGGCAACCTTTATGACGCAGATACTCCACCCTCTGTACAGCCTCGCTCTCCTCCTCTCTCTCTCCCTGATTCGCAAAAGACTACACAGTCATGGGACTCTCGCAATAGCCCTCATATCGACAAATCACAGCCTATGCAGTCTTGGGACTCACGTGACCTTCTCCCAGACTCTCAGCTTCTACCAGACTCTCTTACACAGCCTTCTCCTCCTCTCTTCGTCCCAGACTCTCAAGCAGACTCCTCTCAAGAGCTCTCTCAAGGGACTAATCGCCACTATATCTGTGCCCCTGAGACTTTACGTAATAAGCGGCTCCAGATTCAAACAGCTCTCCTTTTCCGTATACCTCACGCAGAGATTAAGCAAGTACTTGACGTTACAGACCACCAGATCAAGTACGCTAGAAACCACCGCCCTATACTACAAAAAGGAGGTAAAGCTCAATACGTCACGCTTCATACTCCTTAAAAAGAGGAGCTTAAGAAGTGGCTTCTCGCCTCTCCTTCTTACCGCCACGTGGCTTACTATAAGATGCCCTATTATCTACCACAGCTTTATACTAAGGAGAAGGCCTTCCGGACAGCTATTCAAGATATTGGCTACTGTCGCCGGGTATTAAGAAAGAAGGGGTTTTCAGATGATCCTGCTATATGTCAGGAGAGACTAGACTTAGCAGAGGACGGAAGCACGTGGCTACGTTCACGTATACAAAGTATCTGCTTTACAGACGAAGTATGGGCCTTTGGCGGAGCACATACTTCAGCCTATATTACTTGCTTACAAGATGGAAGCGATCGTCTCCTTCCGGAATGCATACGGCACAAGTACTCTAAGCTCCCTGTATAGATGTTCTGGGGTAGTATCGTTGAAGGGAAGAAGGGGCCTTCTCTCTTTTGGGAGAAGGAGTGGGGGTCGATTAATTCCATATGATACGATGAGAGGATCCTCTCAATGATAGAGCAGTTCTTCCGTAATCATCCACTTAGCCGGTATAGGTTCTGGCAAGATAATGCTTCTTCCCATCGCTCGTACGAGACGAAGCTAAACCTGCTCCTTCGCCATATCCCTACGATTCAAGCTCCTCGGTACTCACCAGACTTGAATCTCATTAAGCATATGTGGAATTGGATGAAGAATTGGATTGAGGAGCACTACTGGTACGCACGATACGAGCCAGACAAGATCCACTTGGATCAACTCCGTAAGATTATATAAGATGCGTGGAACGCAGTACCAGACGTATATATTCAGGGCTTATATGATAGCTAGTGGAGACACTATGAGGCTATAAAGGAAGCTCACGGTGGGCCTACAAAGTACTGAGCTATAAAGTAGAGAAGAAAATGCGAATAGCTTCAAAATTGAATGAGAAAGCGGTGAAGACTCAATTACGTGACTTTAGTGGAGTGAGGCGTGGAAGGAGACAGTGGCAAAAGGGCGCTTTGAACCGGGGGGGATAGTAGTAAGCACGTGAATTTACACGTGATTTGCACGTGAGAAGCTAGCTATATTAGGTAAAGCTCCCACCCGCTTCCGCTCTAGCTTCACCTCGCTACCCAATTAGGCGATAGCGAGGCTTAGTAAGCGAACCAAAGCACAAGATTCCGAGGAGAATAATTAGTTTATTATTATAGAAAATTAGTACTTAGCTAGTATTATATAGGCCTTAGCTTAGTTTGGCTAGAGCCACTAATAGGCGCCTTAGTTATTTAATAATTATTAAGTAAACCTTGATTTTCTATAGTCACGTGACCAGCATTCACCAGTATTCATGAATATTCATGAATTTATATTCTACTCTACTCTAATTTTTGAGAATTACGCTACTCATATTCTATTCAAGATATTCATGAATATTCATGAATACCTTGAATACCTTGAATACTTTTTTGACACACTGCTCGTTCTCATACCTCCTCTCGAGGGCTTGCCTCTCACATAGGAATGAGGATACAAAGCAAGTGGCGGCACGAAACGGAAAACGATTCAGCCGTCTCAGTTGAAGCACATGTAAAGCCTCAAAGCCCTGGTTCTTGAAATCTCAAGCTGGGGAAGGGAAGAAGCTTGGAGCGAGGAGTTGAGCTATACGTATGTACGCAGCGTTTGGCACGTGATAAGCTGAGAGGCCGCCCGGAACGATCTCTTATATAAAATGCGAGCCATTATAAAGCAAAAGTTTAGCACCTTGAGTTCACCACCCACTATCTTCAGATCCTTGCTCTCTGGCCTATCCCCTTCCCCACAGGAAACACTCTATCCAACTCCTTCCCCACCTCCAGCTTAGAATCCCACCCATAAATCCACGCCAAATGCCCACTCGCCCTCCAAAACTCATACTTCTCCCCGCTCTCCATCCTCTTCCTAAACCCCTCATCCCTCTTCCTCTGCTCCGGCCCGTCAGCCATCGTCTTCCACACCCCACTAACCCCCGCAGCTCTCTTAACCTTCTCCGTGCGTCCTTTTTGGATCTCCTCATACACCTTTACTGCGCGGGGAATGTCGTCCAAGGAGGAAGCGCGAGCGAGGCATTCGGACAGCACGCCGCCGTCTTCAATCGTCATCGCTGCTCCCTGTCCCAGATGCGGACTCATCGCATGCGCCGCATCACCTAACAGCACAATCCTCCCGGATTCAGAAACCCAGGTCGGGAGATCAGGTAATTGAGCCACTTTCCACAGCGTGCAGTTTTCGTGTGGGATCATTTTCGCGAAGGCTTGGACGCGCTCTTCGTACCCGTGCGTTTGCACGCCGTCGATGACTTCCCGGACGTCGCCTCTTCTGTCGTTGTCTTTACCTTTGCCGGGGTCGTGCGAGTTGGAGGCTGAGACGTGGGATGCTGGGAGAGGCGAGGATGCAGTGGGGTGGATGAAGAATGCTGCGTCGTAGGATTGGCCGTTGGACTTGCGACCGCAGATCCAGTGCGTGTTGGGACCCCACCAGCTGTGGATAGCTCGTTCGTTGATGAGGGGCGCCGTGAGAGGCGACGAGAGCATCAGGGAGGCAGGAATGGTGCATTGGTAGCAGGTGCTATTTGGTTGCAGTTTAACATCCCTTCCGCCGAGGATGAAGGGGCGAGTTGTGGATTTGATTCCTTAGGGAGGGAGTTAATGAGCGATTGAATGGGAAGAAGGGGTGGGACAAACCGTCTGCACCGACAATTAAATCAGCTAAAAGTGTCTCCCCCGTACTCAACATGACGCTTGGTCCCTTCTCACTATCATCGATCTTCTCAACACGACAGCCAAATCGCACTTTCACTCCCTGCTCCACAGCTCCTTCGTATAAAACCCTTTGATACACCTGTCGCCGCACATTCAACATCCTATCCCACAGTTCAGTCAGCCCAGCCCTCATCCCCTCGCCTCCCTCTCCCTTCTCACAAAGCAGATTTCTTTCACTCACTCGTAACCAAAAACCTTCTCATTCGCCGCATTACTCAGAACATCCAACACGCCCCCATCATATCTAAAAATCACATGCCTCTCCCACTTCTCCGCCACCTCCTGGAACCTCCCCAACAACCCATAGCTCTCAATAACCCGCAACGCATTACTCGAAATCAACAGTCCCCCGCCCCACGTCTGCAATGACGCGCTGCGTTCGAGAACGGTGACGGCGTGCCCTTTTCGCGCAAGGCCCACGGCGCATGCGAAGCCGCCGATGCCGCCGCCTATTACGAGGACGTGGAATTTGGGGGCCATTTTAACCGTAAGCTTTCTTTTATATTTATGCACATTGAAATAAAAGGGGGAAGGGGATGAAGGTCAAGAGTCCATGATGCTGCGAGGGGAGGTCTTGTGTAAAGTGAAGTAAAGTAAAGGGGCCTGAGGACAGTCCGAGGTACGAGTGAGGTGAGCTGAGATGTCAGATTCACGTGGAACGTCACTGCTTGTACAGGGGTGAGGGATGCGGGGTAGTTCTAGTGGAAGACAAGGGAGCAGGGACGAGTGATGAGTCAGTAGTGACCCCTATTCAACGACTAGTGGACTTTACGAGACATTCGAACGAAAGTTAAACAAAAGAAGAAGGAAGGTTGAATAAAGTTGGTGAGGGTTAGCGTGGGTAAGCATAGTACGCTTTCAAAAGCAGGCGCGGATAGACAGCCGACCATCGACTAAACTAAGAATTAAAGACAACTAACTATACATTACCCTTTCCGCACTATATATAACTCATTGAATTGAATTTTTATAATATTTAGCTAAGAAGTCTTAATTATATGCTTTTACAAACTTAATTAAAGGCAAAAATCGCATTAGTAATTCGGTTTATTATATTACTTTTATAAAGTACTTATTATTGAGAAGTGCCAAGCTTATGGTGCCCAAGGCAGCTAGGGGCTGGGAGACTAGTGGGAGACTAGTGGATCTGTACTTTTAAGGGGCTTCCCAGCCTTCGATAATCAGAGAATCGTGACTTGCGATTTGCGATTTGCAATTGTGCTTCGTAAATTGGCGCTGGCACGTCTGATCCTTACGGCTTTCCATACACGTAACCTCAACATTTGGAGCGCTGCGGCTGAGGAAGAGCAATATTTTCACTGTTTTAACCAGAAATTTCGAAAAAGCAACCTAAACGCTTAATCAATCTTTCTCGGAAGATACTTACCCGTCTGAACAAAATACCTAGAGCAGGTACCCGGGCCATTACCGGTAGGGAAGTAGGGACTATATGGAAGAAGATCGGTGCCCAGTCTGCTCAAAACTTCCCCTAGACGGGCCAGCCTTGGGCATTGAAGCTCCCCCGATCAAGTACGATCTTAATCATGACCAAGCTGTGTTCAACGCGTACAAAGGGGATTGTTGCCTGTACAGATTAGTACGAGACCTGCATCGAATCTGGTTAGAGAAGGGCGAAGGGCGTGTACGAAGATATCTTTGGTCTTGCCGCGGGCGTGGGCGACTTTATTCGGTGTGCACAGATCCGGGTAGCGTCTAATTAACGTCTTAATTCTTTCGTGAAACCGAACTAACGCAATTTTAGGGACTTGGGACGTTCTTCCTGCTAGCTCCGAGGCGTTCGTGCATCCGGATATTCTCAATCCTGCTACCATTTCACGTTTGCGGAATTGGATTCAGCGATGCAATCAAGAGCACCAAGGCTGCCACAGCGAACAACTTCCGGTTCTACCAACTAGGATATTAGATGTTGGGGACCCGGAGTCTACCGGGAATGTCAAACTTGTCGAGACGAATGGGAAACGAGGGCAATATGTTGCTCTTAGTCATTGCTGGGGCGCCTCAAACTCATTCTTGACAACTCGGGATACGCTCGAATCGATGTACAATGGATTCCTCCCCGATCAAGCGCCTGCTACCTTTCGCGATGCGATTGTGCTTACTCGATGCCTTCGGATTCGTTACCTGTGGATTGACTCCCTGTGTATCATCCAGAGAGACAAGGAAGATTGGAATAGAGAATCATCCCGAATGGGAGATGTATATCGAAATGCGTATCTCATGGTAGCGGCAGCAACCGCCGCCGATGACACCGAAGGATTCTTCAAACCCCGGCCCCAAATCCAGTGCTCGATGAAAATCGTCGCGCCGTTAGGCCGGACTGCGAATGTGTACCTCCGGGATCAGGCACATAGTTACGGAGATTCGAACCTGCCACTGGATTCCCGCGGATGGACTTTACAAGAAACGTACTTGAGTCGGCGGCAGCTAAAATTTCAGGGTAAAAAGATTACCTGGCATTGTCAAAGTACCACCTGGGATGAGTCGGATCGAGACAGTTTGGACAAGAAGTACCCGTTCCGATCAGTTACAGAACTATTCCCGGAGAAGAGTACCCTTTCAAAACACCCTTATCAATCGTGGTATGACATGATTGAGGATTTTGCACAACGGAAATTCTCCGTCCCAACCGATCGGCTGCCGGCGCTCTCTGGCATCGCAACCATGGTAGCGGCGCAAAAAAACGGGCGATATTGCGCAGGACTGTGGTAGGAAGATATCGCCTACTCTATATGCTGGCACACCAGCCGCTACAGCTCCTTTGAGTCGTTTCGGCCAGATTGCTACATCGCTCCGTCGTGGTCCTGGGCATCTGTCAATGGGCCGGTAACCTTCCCCGATAATGGTTATTACCTCAACTCTTGTGGACCAGACTCGCTGGATTCTGTGACCTTTCATGACTGTCAAATCATCCTCGGATCGAATCCGTATGGTGAGATCGAGTGCGCGTGGCTCGAGCTTGAGGCTCCTCTCGCACCCCTTTCCAAAGCTACGGACAAGCATAAGAGAAATTCCCGAAGTGCAGATTGGCATGAATATTTCTCTATCGTGGATGGGGTGAGTGAAGAGTTGCTGAGTGCGGTATTCGACGTTAAAGACGGGCTGGTGATTAATTTGTTTGCACTATTTATGATGCATGCCGAAAAGACCGAGGGCGATTACCACCACAGGCAAAGAAGTGATGAAGTGAAACTCTCCGGTCTGATCTTACGGCCAGCTGTTGGCCAGGAGAGAATTCGTGATAAGTATAAGGTGCCAAAGGGGCTTGGGCTCTATCAACGAGTAGGACTTTTCTACTTGGGAACTCGTCAGGAGAAGGAGGTCTTGGAGATGGCGCCTGTAACGAAGATGGTGTTGCTTTGAGAAACGAGAACGAATCCATTGTCAGACTGTCCCCAATTTATTCGTACATTTGAATGTGCCATATTCAAAGGGACATTTAAATAGTGGGCGTTGGTAAATGTACTAGAATATCATGTACATTGATACATCTAGAGTTGCGCTGTACGCAGCGCAAAGGCAACAGCTCTTACATATCACCCTCGAAACACCCCTCAAAATCCGCGGCACTTAACAGCCCGTCTACTTGCCCGCACAACGCGATGTCCCAAACGGCCGTCAAATGCCACTCAAAGAGGACATCCTGCAGCACCACCAAACCAAGACTCTCTCTCAACCCACCACTTCCTTCCATCTGTGATACTCCCACAAGCCGACACAACCTTCTCTCCAATGTCCCAGACCACCATCCCATCACCTCTTGGCCAAGCGAGCTCTGAAATCTTTGGATAACCGTAATCAATATTTGGGAGGAGGGAGGCAGCTCCCGGATTATAAGCTAGAGATATAATTGCGTGCCCGGATATATTTCCCGAGGGAGATCTGGAAAGGCGTTGAATAGGATGCCGTATTCTAAGCTATCGATTAATCGGCTGAAACTACCTTTTCACCTCATTAATTTTTTGCATCAAATATGTAATTAAAGGCTCTCTCAAGCGACGAGAAAATTTTCGGAGCTTAATCTATTCAGATTTGATAATTGGTGGTGGCAATTGGATCGATTCGTCGATTCGTTCGGTCAAATTCGACTACAATAACAACAGTTCGGCGATTTGACGATTTGACGCTCGCCCACCTTTTGGATTCGTAGACACATTAAATTGCGATATGCAACGGAAACACGTGATATATACCATTGCCAGTGTCACAAGTGGAGATGCAAGTTCAATTGCCACTTCCTGCCTCGTACCCTGGATTGAGGAGGAGGTATTACGAGCTTGAGAACAAAGAAGACATGAATAAAGAACCATATAAAGATTAAATAAAAAATTGCTATTATATTATTGCGCATACATTTAAATAGTAAAACTGTAAAGGAGGATTTATTGACTTGTTTTCGAAAGTGGAATTGAAAATGGGGGTGTGTAGGAAAGGGGTGGACCGAATCGCCAATTCGTATTTCGCCTTTCACCTTTCGCCTTCAACTAAGTTGTAGAAACATCTGTTACCAAAATACGAAGTACAATGAAAACCTCTTAATTAAATGTCATAAAAATCAATTCAATAAGTTATACACAGTGCGGAAAGGGTAATGTGTATTCATCTGTAATCTTCAATTTGTTCAATTCGGTCGACTCTTGACTATCGCCCTTGTTTTTGAAAGCGTACAGCATATTACGCTCAGACATGCAACAAAAACACGTGACTTTGTTGAGAAGTGAAGAGAGTTCTTGTTACTCGCTGGAAAGGTGATGTTTGGTGTAGGTGAATAGGAATAGGGGCTAATCGTAAGCGAGTTTGGATTCACAACAAAGGGGGCACGGTTGAACAAAGGAACGGGCGAGGCCTCGGGGTTGTAGGATGGAAATGATTTCGAAATTTGGATGTTGAATTTTGAATGGTGTATGTACAGTATACACAAGTCTATAAACGCCTACATCTGCCAATGCCCCAATGCCCAAAAACTTGGAAGAATATACAGAGAATTCGTCACCGAGCTAGTGATCATTTGACGCCATTGACGTCTGAGGGAGGTTCATCGATGGTGATATCCGGCGCCTCCCTCCACCTCCTCTCGCGTTCCAGCTCCCTCTCCGTCCTCGTAGTTCCTCCTTCCCCAATCAACGCATCGGTATCCCCACCCCCCCTTAACTCCTCATCATCAAACCTCTCAACCTCCTTGCTCAGCTCCAACTGCGTCCTCTCCTCAACACTACTCCGCCCCCCAAACACCCTCCGCAACTCCGCGCACGCCTCACTATATATCCTATCCGCACTCTTCGGGAACCGCACCGGATTCGGCTTCTTATCGAACGCGTGCGGCACCGCCTTGACTTCCCCACCGTGCACCGTCTTCCCTACATTGTCTCCCTGCAACCGCTCCCCAAACTCTTTGCCCTCGACATTCAACATGTCGTACTCGCAGGTGTAGAGAATGATGTCGTCTGGATATGCCGCTTTCAATTGCGCGTCCGAGGCCGCTGCGGGCGATAAGTAGGGATCGCAGAGATCAATGAGGTCGGAAGGGTGCATGTAACTCTCGTCAAACAGATTCGTCAACATGGGCGGGAGATTCTTCTCTGGTGCTGGATTCGTGGCACGTTTGTCTTTTCTGCTGGAGCGGAAATCGGTCGGTGGGTAGAAAGAGACGATTGCTTTTAAGGTTAAGTCTGGTACTTGTTGCGCTACTTCTAGGGCGGTGGGTTCTAGGTCAGAGAGTTTTAGGACAGAGGACGAGGACATGGCGTTTTCGAGGTCGGGGCGGGGGAGGGAGAGTGTGGAGGAGAAAGCAGATGTCGAGGGCCCGGCATGGGTGCGGAGGTGGGAATGCGAGGTGTTGAGGTGCGAGGTTGAGGGGCGGGAACTGAGGCGTGAGGAGGGTTGTTGCAGGCTGGGCTCGTGCAGACTGCGTTTCCCTGCGTCTGTTTGGAGGTCGAGCAGCATGAGGGGGACAGTGAAGGCGAAGTTTCCTCCAGCGCTGAAGCCCGAGAGAGCCATTCTGTGGGGGTCCAGACGTAGCTCCTCGGCGTGTGAGGCCAGGTACATGAGCGCGTCTGTTCCGTCTTCGACACCGACGCTGAAGGGGTATTCGGGTGCGAGTCGGTATTCCACTGATACGAAGACTGCATCGACTTGGTGTATAACCGTTGACGCCCATCTCGCATCATCTGTTCCTGTCCCCAATGTAAACCCCCCACCGTGGAAATTGACAACCACAGGGAATCGATAGCCATCTGGAGTGCTGAGGTACGAATCGGGTATGTAGAAGACCAATTTGAATGTCCCCCCTCGAGGCGACAGTCGTGACGGGACAATGATCTTGAAGTTCGGGCGGGGAGGTTTCGGTTCAGCGAAGTGGTGGAATTTCATCCCAATGGCCATCAAGGCCCTCCATATTGCGGCTTTCATGTAGAGTAGCCAGCGAGCAGAGAGAATGCTCATGGTATTCCACCGCGACAGAAGGTGACAAAAGGGGTGCAGCAGGGGCAGAAAAGCCCTTGAGCACTGGATGGCGGGGTCTGATATGTATCTAGACCTTCGAGCTTGGAACTCGTAGTCGATTGGGGCTCGGCTGCAGCTCAGTAATCTGGACGCATGCTGGGACACGCATCCGGGTATTTGAGAGGGGAGAGAGCCACTCAGGGCGAGGCGGGAGTGTGACATATTCTTTGGCGCGACGAATCGATGTTGAGTTGAGACAGCACCACGGAGAATCGGCGACTTTGCTACGTCACCAGCGACATGGGCGCGGGCCGAGGCTGGGTTCATGCCTGGGAACGAGAGTGATGCCTCAGGAAGCGAGATGCAGATGCAGATGCCAAGAAATGCATAAATGTACAAATGTACAAATGCACAACTGCACAGATGCACAACTGTTTCTGCCTGCAGAGTGAGGCGGCAAATCAGGTACCCGCTTTTGCCGCCTCACTGCGTCCGGTATCCCTGTGATCAAAGCCTCGGGGGTGCCACAATCCTGACTCAGCCTGCTTGAAACCAGGTCCACCAATCGCGGACTTTGCCTCCGGAAGCTTCGGCTGGGGACGCCACACCACTCTTCTGTGACGTGCAAGTTTTTGTGTCGCTGTTTGCTCCCTGATTTCGTCCTGGTACACAGCTAGTAGCACTCGCGAGCGTCCGGATTTTGCAGCTGAGCTTTTCACCGTGACAAGCCTCTCCTGTCCAGTCTGCACCCGTGCCCGGGTTTTGCCAGCACACGTGAGATGTGTGAAATGTGTACCTCCGTACCGTAACGCGGTTCAATAGCTCTCACGCAGCCCGCCTCAAAACCGTGATGTCATTGCCCTCGCTGTGGGGAAAGGCAATCTTATCTCTTGACGTACAGCAGCGTATTTACCTCCAGCCTGCTTCCCTTACCCTTACCCATCAATAAAACCATTATTGTGTTCCCTTCTTCTCGTTTTCGGTCAGCTCAGCCCAGCTTTTTCTTCTCTCGCCCGCCTGTGGTGCATGTGCTGTTCTTGGCAGCAACCCGAATCTTCCGCCCTGCGAATCCCGCATCACATAATCCGCTCTTCCGTAACCAAGAACTCGATTCTGCGCATCTGATATTGATCAGCGGCCCCGGAATCCTCCCAACTTAATTAATCAGCTGCTTGCAGCCGCCATCCAACCCCCGCTCTCAGCGGCCTTTAAATAATTCGAGCTCTGGCGCCCAACCCCGCCATCCAAGCTCGACAGCTTGACAGTTGACAGCTCGATAGCTCGACACCTCGACAGCTCGACAGCTCGGCACCTCAACGTTCGCCAACATGTCGTTCCTCAAGAAGCCCTTCAGGAAACTGAAGGATATGAGCAATAATAACTCGACACTCGACAAATCAATCACGGAAAATTCGGCTCCTAGCAAAGTCGAAGGGGTCAATAGTTCTACGGGGTCCGGCACTGATAGCCCAAATGCCAAGCCCAATGGTGCTTCAACTCCCATTACCAGCAGCACCTCTACTCCAAGATTGAACGGCGATTCGAAGCGTCAGAGTCGGGAAGTCATTCAGGCTGAGAGGGCGAGGAAGAGTATGGATCGGGAACGGGCAAAGGTGGAAACAAAGAAGAGGGAGTCGATGGCTAGAATAGAGGACGAGAGGTTTTTACAGGAGGGACCACCATCGCTCACGAAATTGTACCGGCCATACAGTATGAATCAGAGCAAGAGATGGACTCACGAGGATCGGCTTTTGTTCAAGAACTTGGATTGGGAGAGTGGGTGCCTTTTTCCGAGAGACTTGCATATCTTACTAATCTGGGTGCAGAATTGGACGGAGAGGTCATTACTTTCCGAGCTCGGATACATACCCTCCGCCGCATGAGCGCGAAACTGGTCTTCATTGTTTTCCGGCAGCAGACCATTACAATACAAGGAGTCTTACAGAGTTTCAAAGCTCGACATGAGCTGAAAGGTATGCAAATAAAGTCTCTGCCCGCGAACCTGGGCTGATTATTTTATAGCGGGAGAAGAAAATGAAGGCACCATCTCCGAGCAGATGGTGCGAAGCGTTGAGCATTATCCCACCGAAACAATCGTTGTGGTCATTGCGAGAGTTCGAAAAGCACCCAAGCGAGTCAAGAATGCAACGGTCCATGACCACGAGCTCGAGGTGTGGGAAGTGCACAGGGTTGGGCAATTGACAGAAAATGTCCCTTTCACAGTCTACGATGCGGAGAACATCAACAGAGACAGAGAAGATGTTGATGACGAGGAAGATGAGAGCTCGATGTCGTCGTTATACCCCTCGAATGGTGATACACCTGCAGACAACACTCCTAGAATTGGGACCCCCAAACAAGGAACTCCTCGTACTTCAACAGATTTCTCTCGATTCTCGCCTGACAGAGACAGCAAAGGCCGTGCTTCCAAGGACATCTTTGCAAGTCGAAGTAGGTCCTCTTACCTGGCTTTTAGGATGTTCTAACCTTTTGGCAGGCAGTATGGATTTCTTCAGACAGCAACGATCCCTTCCCCAAAGAGTTCGTCTCAACAACCGAATCGTCGACTTACGAACTGCCCCCGCTCAATCAATCTTCCGTATCCAATCTGGAATCTGCAACCTCTTCCGCTCCTATCTCGATGGCAAAGGCTTTATTGAAATCCATACCCCGAAGCTTCAAGGTGGTGCCTCTGAATCTGGAGCCACAGTCTTCGAAGTCGATTATTTCGGACGGCCAGCTTTCCTTGCACAATCTCCCCAACTTCCAAAGCAAATGTGTATTGCTGCCGATTTCGAAAGGGTGTACGAAATTGGTCCTGTTTTCCGAGCAGAAGATAGCAACACGCCCCGGCATTTGACCGAATACACCGGCTTGGATCTCGAGATGGCGTTGGAAGAGCATTATTACGAGGCTCTGACCATCATCGATGGAATGTTCAAGAACTTATGGCAAGGAATTTATGATCGATACCAGAAAGAAATCGACGTCATCTCTCACTTCTATCCCCACGACAGGGTCCAATGGCTGGAAGAGACACCAAGAATTCCCTTCTCCGAGGGAGTCAAGATGCTGATCGACGATGGCTGGGTCGACGAAGACGGAAACCCACCTTCTGAGCTAGAAGATCTTGCCACCAGAGCAGAAATTCGTCTCGGTGCCCTCGTCAAAGAAAAGTACAAGACCGACTACTACATCCTGGACAAATTCCCCTGCTCAGTCCGCCCCTTCTATGCCATGCCCGACCCAACCGACGACCGCTTCACCAACTCCTTCGACATCTTCATGCGAGGACAAGAGATCCTCACAGGAGGACAACGTATCCACGATGCTCGATTCCTCGAAAAACGCATGAAAGCTAAAGGTCTGAAGCCCGAATCCATGCTCGAATACCTCGAAGGCTTCCGCTGGGGCGCGCCACCGCACGCAGGCTGTGGCATTGGATTAGAACGGCTCACCTACCTTTTCTTGAACCTCGGGAACATCCGCCTGGCCTCCCTCTTCCCACGAGACCCGAAGTCACTCCCTGCCCGTCCGCCAACGCTCAAACTCCGGCACGAAGAAGCAAGTACCACGAACCCACCCTGGGAGCGCACGGATCTGGAGAATAACCCGACAGAAGGAATCACCGATCGAGAGAAGCAATTGCAGCCGTTAGAGAAGTTAATCGCCAACTACGGCGACGCAGCAAACACATCTTGGCTCGACAAGCGGTACCACGTATGGCGACACGCCAGCACAGGGGCAGCACAAGGCTACGTCATCTCCCACAACTTCGCGATCGCCGTCGGGGAGCCCTTGTGCTCGAAACAGCAGTACCCTCAAATCGTCTCCGCGTACCTGCAGTTCCTGAAAGAAGAGCACAAGGAGCTGAAGCCGCTGTGGATGATCGTTGGGCCCGACATCGAGGAGTACCTCGGCGAGAAGTTCCTCTGGCGTACTCTCGCCTGTGCCGCAGAAGAGCGCGCCGACCCTCGCAACAACCCGGCGAACAAAGACAAGGACCTCGCGCGCAAGATCCGCCACGCCGAGAACGAGGGCATCAAGGAAATCGACGTGCCCGTCGGAGCGCCCGTTGATTCCGAACTCCAGGCTAAGATCGACAAGAGAATCGAGGACTGGCATAAGAACCGCAAGGGCACGCAAGTCCATTTAACGCAAATCAGACCTTGGATCGACTGGGAACACAGACGCTATTACTACTCCGTCGGTCCAGACGGCACGATCCACGCTATCTGCGTCCTGCACCAGTTGAGTCCGCAGAATGGCTACCAAGTCAAATTCAGCCTCGAGTTCCCCGGTGCCCCGTCCGGCACGATCGAGAGCCTCATCCTGCACTCTATGCGCGCGATCGCGGCCAGTGATGCGGAGTGCAAACAAGTCACCTTCGGCACTGGGGCGATGAATACGCTGGAGGGGGGACGCAATCTGGGCAAGACGAAGGTGCGGGCGTTGAAGAAGGCGTACGAGGCGATTAATCGGCAGTTTAAGTTGACGAACAAGAGCGAATTCCGCGAGAAGATGGGCGTGAGGAATGACCCTGTTTTTGTTGCGTATCCCCGAGGGGGACTGGGAGCCGGCGGGATTCAGGCGTTGATGGCGTTCTTGAAGGAGGATGGTTAGGGGGGTGTGAGGCCGAGAGCACCGGGTGTTGAGTGTGTGAACGAGCGCTGAAAAGAGGGGAAGAGGGGAGAGGGGTCGGAGGGGTGGTGGTAATGACGATGAGTGTAGATACGAAAGAAGGAAGTTGAATGCTTTAATGGCGTTTGAGGGGGAGTTAATTTTCACTTCGTCGAGCACAAGCACAAGCACACACACCCAAAATTTGAGAGATGTGGAGATGGAGACGCAGATTTCTGATTTGTTGTAGTGGAAAGTAGTTAGATACCTTTTGAATGCGATTCTTCAACCAAGTACTCTAGATTCGTGGTGAAGGGTTGAGAGGTGTGTGAGGAGGAGGGCGGAGCAAGAAAGGGATGGCACGTGACGCCCCTTACCATCCAAAGGGCATGCTGCTGAAGAAGTCCATGTGGGGATCACCACTCGGCACTTTCTCGGCCGTCGTGAGGTGGCAACTTTTCCACGTCTACAGACGCTTCCAACTATTTTCGTACGCTGTGTTCACCGATTCTACTCCGGTAGTATGGTGGCTTGTCTATTTGTTGTGTTATTGTCAAGTTACTAGTTGGTGTTAATACACTACCATTCCCTGAAAAAATAAAACTTGCTCTTGTCCGAGAGTTACGGTAATGTCTCGTAAACACGCGCCAACTTGACTAAACAAGGAAGAGTGCACGGAGGTATGATGGATAACCGGAGACACCGTGGTCTTTCCCTCGACCTCAAAATTTATTGTGTTTCCTGTGTTCTTAGGGCAAGAGCTTATTATATCCTGTTGAGTTGAACACGAGAGAGAGGTTGCTATCTACGGTAGTGGAAGAAGAAACACCGAGCCAGCTAAAAAAATCATCGTTGAAGCTGGTTCGGAACGTGGCATCTAAGTGGTTGATAGGTATACATGTTTGGAAAAGGAAGATCCTGTTTCCTCATCACAGTAAACATTCCAAGTCAGCCACGACAGATTCCAAATGCGGAGTCAATGGTACTGTACGTGCTTCGGTCAAGCCTCTTTCCAATCTCTGAATACCAAGTCCAAGTTCTCACATCCCTAAAGATCTCAGGGCCGCCTCCGCAGTTCCCTCCCTCTGTCAATGTACCCCGCATTCATGAACAGTCCTGAGCTACCTACCCTTGCTGGCCCGACAGCTTCGACTTTACCCCTTGAACGAAATCACCGCTAGCCTCCCGAAAAACCGGAGTCCACAGCCCCTAGATACAAGGACAGAAACCCTGCAGCTCTGCAACTTTGGATCGTTGTCCTGTGATTTTTGCATTTGGTGCGAGAGTAGTTCTTATACCCTTCTCACTTTTAAGAAGATAAGAAGTTGTGAGTCGGATATCGGCGGATGTCTCGAGGAAGGGGAGGAAAAGGGCGGGCACCGGGAATTTGATACCCCCTTTCTGCTTTGAGGGAATAAATACCTGATGCTGAACCTCACGTTCTCACTATCGCTTCTACAGCAGATGAGGAACGCGACCATGAGTGCAGAACATGCCCAACCGCACTCTCCGTATCCACAGTTAACACTTCGAGGGCCAAACGGTCTAAAGCTCCGTGTCAGCTAGGGAAACATCTTGTGGCTGAGCAGTTACTCTTATATCAGCGGGCAGATTATGAGTTTTCGGGTTTGTTATTTTCAATGTTGTTATACCACGGGAGCTAGGGGGCGCGCTTGAATAAGGAGCCCCAAAGCTTGTCTCTACTAAAACTTGGAGCTTCCTTCACGTGTACTATAGCTTGCCTTTAGGCCAGGGATCGTATCGCACGCTAAAGGCTCCCAACTCTAATATGGCTACTTACTTTAATTACGTAAGTAAGGATATATTCTTAAGTAATATATAAGTCAGAGAGCCAGAATATATATCTTACTAATATATATGCGCGTGCGCGAGGGGCTAAAATAAAGAATTATTTTATAATAAATTATAAAAACTAGCGTTCTTAAAGAAATGCAAAGGGAATTAGAAGAGTACTAGTATATAAATAAAATAGAGTAAATTTTAAGTTATTTATAAAATTATTACTCTAGGCAGATAATCCTGGTTAGGAAAGCTACGCGAGTTTACGCGGGCTAAATAGAGATTTGGCAGGGGTGTACTCCTTTTGGATTCATTTAAGTAATTCCAACACAACTTGAACCAAATTGTACTCAAATTCTAAACCTGTACGGTGGTTATACTTGCAAAGAGTCTATTTAGGAAAACAGAATCGTTATCAAATCTTCATCTCGCTTTCAAATAGACCGTCAAAATCCTCGCCAGGGAAATGTAACCTCATGCGTCATGAAGCTGGCGCAGTACAGGAATTCCTCGAGCAAAGATAAAGTCTCCCAGTTTCCTAGCTTGCATCATTTGCTTACCTTCCGTCCCTTCTCTCGTTCTCTGCAGCAGATCCAGAACAGAAATGCACAAAGTATCTCAGACCTGTCCTAGAAAAGAGAGATACTACTGCCAATAAACCGCTTGAGTCTATAATTGGGGCTGACATCTTTAGCAGTGAGAATGGCCAACTGGCGTTCCAGAATTCGAATGTGCTATAGCCGTCGCCAACGGATGGGGGACCTCTTCTCCTTACACATGATTTAATGACATGCTAGGAAGAAACCAAATATCGAGCTGTCTTCTTCACCCAGCTGCTGACCTCTCATTAATGTATGCCTCGCGGCGCTTGTTATGATGTTCAGCAACCCTGAGAGGAGAGGTATGTTTTGTTGTCTATTTTCAGAGCAATGAATTCAAGCTGGGTCTTTAAGAAATCTTTTGTTCCAACCAAATTCATCTCGTTTCTTTCATCGGGTGCGGCGGAGTGCATATCTACGAAATTAAGAGAGGAACAGGAGCCTTTTACCTTTCAGAGATCTCCGCATCCCTTCACAATCGCATATTTAAATCAAACACAATTATGTTTCCAAAGGCTAATTAGTTGCACAGGTGTGCTCAATTGCAATTTAACTCGAGTCGCTACATGGCCCCTTGTCGTTTGCCTGCACTCGCGTCCCTCTGCACTCACCCGAACCGTTCAAACGCATATCCAGTAAGGAAATCCTCAACCACACCACGTCCTCTCTTATTATATCATTCTCCAAACATTGCTCTTACAACAAGTAACGGAAGTTCCTATTCTCACGATCTGTGAAATTCTCGTCGATTTCTGAGAGCTCAGATGATTCATTACTTGCCCCAAGAGTTGCTCCAACGTCTTTGTCGCGTTTAGCATTCTCCCACATTAAATAAGCTCTCAGTATAAGCGCAATAACAGCCGCGGAAGAAAATACCGCAAGAATGGCCTTCAGTCCCGTCTATTCAAACATTAAAAACATCAGCATAGGTCTTGCCTCCTCCGTTCATATTATTCACAGGATGTCATACCGGATATTTGGGAGCTTCGCTCTGTAAGAAGAACTGTGGCCCTGCGATACGGCCAACGCAGTAAGCAATAAATATCATTGCCATCACAGTGGCCTTTTTGGTGAATCCCGCGATGTTGGATGTCACCATCGATGTCGCCATAGGTAAATTGGCGGAGAATGCAGATGTGAGACATGAACCTGCGTATCTAGCGACGCGGTGTCGAGCTGGGATGGCAAACATCATTGCTGTGCCAGTGATGCTAAAAGTAATTAGGAGTTGTACGTTAGTTTAGAGAAATCAAGAGTCGAGCGTACCTGACTAGCATGAAGAAAACCATTGTCAGGAGTCGTGCGTTCTTTACATACGTTCCGAAATAGGCACTAAAAGTCATTATTAGCATTAACTAAATAAGGTATATAGCATAGTACAACGCACCCAATGCACACAAATAGGATTTGTGCAGCGCCGGCCGGAATCTGAAGGAGGAGCGTTGAGAATAAGCTGAAGCCAAAACCCTGGATCAATATGTTGCCGAACTGCCTTGGGTTAGCGGGCAAATCCCATTTTACTCTTTCAGTGTTGGACTTACACTCGAAAGGCCACCAGTCGCAACATTGACACAGAATGTGTTAAGAACTAGCAGCCACGCCTGTGGGTCTGACAAGGCCTCAATAACCTGATATCTCTGGTAGTTAATGACTTTTTTACCCCCATTCATCTGTACTCTATCAACGGCTATTGCTCTCTCTTCCTCTGTGAGAAACTTTGCCTTCGAGGGGCCATCGGGAAGGGTGAAAAACAATATCCCTCCAAAGAAAGCGGTTATTGCTCCGTATATCAAGAATAAATACTATTCAAATGTGAGCTCGAAACAAGCTGTACGTCAGTCAACCCAAAGGGATGGCATTTGAACTCACCTTCCAAGTTTCCAGTTTGCCTTGAATATGAGCAATGCCCCAAACTATCAACCCACCTAATATACCAGCGATGCCATCGCCAAGGAAAAACGCGCACTGTCTTAGGGGCTGCTCTTCTCTCTTGTAGAATGTTCCGGTGAGGAGAGCAAATGCTGGCACAACAGTTGCTTCGCCGACCCCGAGAAAGAAACGCACGGCCATTAGGCCAGAAAAGTTATGAGTGGCAGCGTGGAGCATGAGGATTATGGCCCAAACCATTCTGAATGTTGAAATCGGTTAGCTAAGTAGAAGTTATGGGGTGGGTAATCTTGAGGGATAGAATTAAATAGAGGGACCTTACACAGTAACGGAGACATATTTGCCGATTGGGAATTTCACAATGAGAATCGAGGTCGGGAAGGTGAATGCGAGGTACCCGAAGAAGAAGATCGAGTTCGCCCATGAGTATTCTTGTCCTTGGAGGTTCTGGTGTCCCCATTTGGTTTTAGTAGCCATTTGGTTTCTTCGAGAAATAGATTATGGGGAATGAGGACTTGCGTTGTCTTCGATAATTCCCATGATAGATGCGAATCCAAGAGACGCTTTATCAAGGTATTGGAGAAAATAGCAAATGGTGAGAAGAGGGACGAGTCTATTTAGCGGGTATTATAAGCAAAAGTCCATATGAGGAAACAACCCGCATCGTGTTTTCACCTGAGGTCTATCTTCCTCAACACACGGCGTTCGATTCGGTCCTGGTCCACGTCAACACTATTGGGAACCTCAACAGTGCTAACCTCATCTTCTTTCGAACGGCCCGTCATTATTTCCCGACTAAGAGGATTTATTTTTTGAGCTAGAGTCGAAAAGTTATTCAGGATTATCTCTGGTCTGATGATTGTCGAAGGAGATGTCGAAGTTTTGCTGGCCAGGATTGTTATCTCAAGGTAGATTAGCAAGGAATGTTAGCTTTAACCTATTGGTTGATTTTTTGATGTGAATCTTAATGATCCTCGGAGAGGGCTGATTGGATTATATGTATAGAATCACAGAAAAGTAGACTGACATTCCTTGTTCTTTGTGAGGAATCAAACTGCCGATTCTTGGCAGAGAGAGATCTGCAGCCATTCAACCTATCATTGATTTCGCGCAAAGAGGCGTTCCATCTAGGTGCTCAGTTTTCGTGGGGAGATAAGCTTTCGGTAAATATCGGAGGCTACCAAGGTGCAAAAATCGATTCTGTGTTGTTCAGGTAGGACAGCTATTGATTGCTTTGTACTGGAAGGGTTCACCGCCACCTGCCGAAACCACTACATCGCCCACTTTTAGCCCTGTCCAAGCACCAAAAATTTGCAAATTTTCCAAAGTACTTAGAAAATCCTAAACACTTAGGTTTTAATGGAAAAAGTTTCAGGGTTGCGAATATCGTATTATTTTCTTGGGGCTGCGGCGGTAAGATCTCCAAATTTCATTTTGTGGGGTTGAGTAGTGTGGGTGGTGAGAGCGGTGAATCCTTCTAGCCTCCAAGCACTCTCTCTTATCCGAGAATGCGGAACACTAGAGCCCGGTCTATTTGTCCCATTTATTGCCTACGCTTTTATTGCTTTTGCACCTCAATTGGTCCTGCCGCGGCCACGGTAGTATTCTCATCCTAGACCAGTCACCGCTAGGCTGTGCGACAAGGACCCATGACTCACGGGGAATGTCCATTTAGCCCCCGGGGACAGGATGGGTTGAGGTGGGTTCCCAAAAACTGCCTTCGATCTTGTCGATGGGTTGCATCCGGGGAGGGTCGGGCAGCAAGGTGGCCCAACTGGCCTGCTTGACGTCTCCACGTGGCCGTTGCAGGGGGTCTGAAAAGTTATTGCGAATATGTATTTGAGCTGGCGTGCTTTGTGTCTCCACCTGGCCTTTTACAACTTTTAAGGATTAAATACGAAGTATTGTCTCCACACTCCCTGTGCCTTCCCGTCTATTATGTAAGATACATGGAATCTGGAACTACATTTCTATATTGTTACCAAAACGTCTCTAAGGTATTCCTAATACGGGGGCCTCCTACCACCCCCTAAACCCCCAGACTAACCCAAGCCCTAACTAAAGCGACTTGGAAGCGTTCTAGAAACGTTTCTAGTAATTTATTAGAATAAAGGCTTTGAGAAATGAACTTGTATTTAGTAAAAATGTCTTTGAAGTATTCCAGAATCGTTCCTAGCTGGCCGGTTTTGCCGGTTTAGAAGGTTGTATAAAAAAACAAGTGATTTTTCAGGCCTCGCACGCCAGCCACACCGAGAAAACAACCAGGAAGGCAGCCCTGTTGCAGGGGTTTGAAAGGTTGTTCGGACATTTGAGGTCGGGCTGACCCAAATGCGCCAGCGTACCCCCGTTTGCTGAGCAATATGGTAGGGTTTGTGGAAAGACGTAATCCATTACACGGCCTGTGATTGGCCTAGTCACCACACCACCATGCAATTGATGTGAACTCCGCGGGAAAGTTCCTCGCATCACTTTAAAACAGTATCCGACGTCGGGCTTCGAGCTCCGCGTACCCTGAAACAGTTTACTTATCCAGATCACGCCAAATACTCGAGGTGTCACGTGCTGAGGACGTGAAATTCAAGCTAAGCGAATATGAGTAAAGCATTGGACCAAACAAGGTAACGCTTTTTGAGCTAAGCGAATTTGTCGGCCAATTAGACTTGGAGGAAAAGTCTCGCTTATTCAAGCATTGGGTGAAAGAAGTGGCTAGGTGTTCTATGGAGTAAGGCTTTGATCGGTTGGCCTTGGACGAATGGATTGGAGAGAAGCACATAAATTTGATTTAATAGGCTCGCTTAAAATTCAGTGGCTTTACGCTAAAGATTTAGCGTGGCGCTCATGGTCGCTGTTTCGATCGACCTCATCAGCTGCCCTCCACGTGTTTCATCCTCCTGTCTTTTGTGCATGTCAGTATTGAATATATATCTCGCTATCCTTCATCTGTGGTCTCGGATCATTATAAATGCGTTGTTAGCTGGCCATTGTCCTCTGCTCAAGTCCGCCAATCTTTCATTTTCCCACGAGAGGCGTGATACTCTCCCCCCCTAATTAAATGTAACAGTGGGTCAAAGTGTAGGGGTTTTTTGGTATGGCAACTGGACCGTGCCAGGCTGGTTTTGTGGGGACCCACTATTACTTATTATAGTAGAGTTCTTAGTTAATATAGTCTTTAGGTAATTATACTAGTACTCTTATATAAGAGTAATTCCGGTAATCTTAGTTCCTATAATTATAGTATTTTTAGTAGTTTTAATATATATAATACCTTTATTAAACTTTAGATTATAGTTAAAAGTAAGCTATTCCTGCTTCTTAGTTAGGAACTAAGCTTCCTTAAGTTTTAATTACTCTAATTCTATAAAGTCGTTGTTTCTAATAAATAAAGTATTATTAGTTTATAGGCCTATTATATTAAATAGTTACTTGCTATAAAAGAAATATAAATTATAAGTTAACTATTTTATAATAAGCTCGTTAATATAATAAGAGTAATAAGTCCTAAACTAGTAGTTTCTAGCTTCTAGTATATTATATAGTAGTTTTATTACTTTTAGAACTAAATCATTTTATAGTTCTAGCTATTTAGTAAGCTTTCAAAATAATTTTATATAAAAATCGCGATTTAGGGAAATAATTAACTAAATATATATTTATAAGATATCTTATAAATAGAGTCTTATAATTTTAGTTATTATAGTAATAATACTAAAGATAATTCTTTAGCTAATATATTAAATAGTTAGTATTTATATTAATATAGTATATTTCTTTTAATTATTATATATTTAAACTATAAGTTTTAATTTATAAAGCTCTTTATTAGTATTCTTATTCTTAATCTTATTAATAAACTTGGAATTAAAAATATATATTTTCTCTAGAACTTTTAAATAAGAAATAATTATAAATACTTTTCTTTTTAGAAGTTCTATAATTTTAGTTTAATAGAAATTATAATACTAAGTATCTTTTATTAGATATATATCTATTTCTTCTATTTCTATATTATTATTTTATAGAAATACTATAACTTTAAATAATATTTTATAAGATTATTTCCTATTATATTTTAGGAAAATAATAAAAGAAATTATATTTATATCTCTTTAGTTATTACTATAGTTATATTCGGAATTAGAGCTAGAATTATTAAAATTAAGGCTTTTATTCTCTTATAGAAATAGCTTTATAAAGATTAAATAAAAAGAGGTATTATTATATAATAAAGCTAGTATATACTATTTATTCTCTATAAATATAAGCTTATATAGCCCTTTTTACTAGCCTAATTAACTAGTATTTCCTTTATACTAGACTAAAATCTTTAAATTCAGAAAAAGTTTATAAATATTATAATAAGGTTTTTCCTCTTATATTTAATAACTATTATTATATGTTTTGCTTTTTAGGCTTATAAGTACTAGTTAGATAGTTATATAAGACTTCTATTTATATATATAATTAGTTCAAATAATATATTAATTTTTTAAGCTTTTTATTTTTAATTCTTTTTATTATAGTACTATAAATACTATTACGGGCCAGGCTTTTATATAAAGAAAACTAGTAGATTAATTAACTAAATAGAATTCTCTAAAGAGAAAAGAAAAGAAAAAAGAAATAGAAATAAAACCAAGAACTATATTTCTTAAGATATTTAAGCTTCTTAAATAATATATAATTATTCTATTAACTTAAAAAGATATATTATATAATTATAAATATATCTAAGATTATATAACCTGAGTAAAGGCTTCTAGCTAAGTATATTAATTAGGTTTTAATCTATTATAGTCTAGAAATAATTTTGAATTCTTAGAAAAAAATAAGTTTATGAAATTATATAATCTTAGATATAATCGAGATTATATAATCTTTAGTAAAACTAATACTATATTTAAGAATAAGGCTACTTTATTACACTTATTAGATAATAGTTATTTAGAATAAAGCTAAGCTATTATATAATACCTTATAATACTTATAAAACCTAAAGAAATATTAAGATTAAAATTCCGGAAATTAAATAAAAAAGTTTAGAATTATAATATAAGAGACAAATTACTATAGAGAATTATAATTAAAGCCTATTTATATTAGCTAATTATTAATAACTAGAAATAAAAAGAAATTATTATTAAGAAGTTATATAATAAAATTAGATATATTAGAAAAAAAAAGTACTTTATTAGTTATAGCTAGAAATAATTTCTTTAAATAAGTTAAGGCTAGACCTTTAAAGAACTTAACTAGTAAAAAGATTACTAAGTTTATCTAGAAAGAAATTATATATAAAGATAGTTTATTTAGATAATTTAAGGTAAATAATAAATTAGAATTTAAAGAAATAGTAATTTAGGAACTTAATAAGCTAGAAATTAATAGAATTATTATTTTAGCTTATAATTCTAAAGGTAATAATATAATTAAATATAAATATTAACTAATTATCTAAATACTTATTATATTAATAATAAATAGAAAAAAGCTTTAGATAAATCTAATTTTATTATAAATTATATAATATTTTATTAATAAAAGTTTAAATAACTAATAAAGAAAGTATAAGCTATTATTTAAAAGCTTATTCGAGCTAAAAGAATAAAATTATATTTGAGTTAATAAGAATCTATTTTAATTATATTTAATTAATAAAGTAAAGCAGTTTAGATTTATTAATTTTATTTACTAATATTATTAGAAAGAGCTAATATATAATTAATCTTATTTCTTTTATTAAATTAGCTAAGAAAGAGCTTATTAATGTCTTTAGTCTAATAAAATA